AATTGGTTAGAGGATATTTCATTCTAAGCAATAATGACTAATAAATGAGAATAAATTGCTTATAATAAGAGAAAAAATCTTTACAAGTTAAAGAAAAATAGATTTCTATACTTGATTTAAGTTTTTTGGATGCTTACTACTTAGATATATTATGTTCTTGTTTTAAGAAATCTTACCAAGTCTCATTTGCTTGCTTCACTGGCAGATTATTTTGCTGAAAATAAGCAATTATTCACTTAAAACACTATATTTTTTTCTTAGTTTTTAGAAGGCATTTTTTGTTGTGTACTTCTGCCATTTCTAGACGCACTGAACGGTTTAAAAACCTCATATTTCCGTAAACCTAACAATGCAGTAAATTTCTCCATGCCGTTTTCCCTGACCCGTCTGCTGTGTCTTTTGGGCCTCTGTTGTCTGTTCTCTAATGCTCTTTAAAAAACTCTGAAGCATTCTCAGACATTCATTCCAAGTCTACTAATTTTGTGATTACTAAAAAAATAAATGAGGCACAGATTTTATTAGAAACATTTTTTGAGCAAGGTGGGGCCTGAACAGAACTGTGACGTCTTCTGGTTTGTGATAGAAAAAATATAGATGTCTATTCTGTGTTCTGATGTGAGCCTTTAGGTTTTTAATGAGTTATTAGTGGTTAGAGGTGAATAGAATAATCTAATAATCTAAAAAAAAAAGGACAGAATGACTTGATCTTTACATTTAGAGCTAAAATTAGCTCTAAACATAAAGATATAGAGGCGTGCCAAGGTACTCTGCTGTATGGTGAGAAGAGCCCATCACATGAATCCCACTGAGGCCATATAGCATTGTGTAAACTTGTCAAAAAGGCTCCTGTTAGCATAAAGCAGACCTGTCCTGTACTGGTGTGATGAACAACTTAGAAATGATACAAAATTATCTCTACAAGATGGAGTTGCTTGAGGCTGCGGATCCCTTCAGACAGATTTATTTTGATGTGATCTATAACTCAGCGTCCAAAGATCATTTAAGGCTTGCTGCAGCCGCCTGCTCAGACCGGGTGAACAAACAGGGAACTGTTAACCATTTTAATGACATGCAAGATTTCCCAGGTGAGATGAACATCCCTGACAACAATAAATAGCTGGCAGTGGTGTGAGATCAGTGACTGCTGTGGGCCCACAGCGTGAAGGATGACTGAGATAAACCACCGCCACCTCCACCTACATTTCGCCGCTATCCATCATCTGACAGATCTGATAAATGGAGCGCTCCTCTCTCCTCCCTGCAGTTCGCCGCAGCAGAACGTCTCGTGTTGAAGAGGTGACATATTGCGCAGCAAAGCCTATTAGAGCACACATCAGTCACCGCAGCTGGAAGCAGCCTTCCACGTCCACGCCGTGACAACTGATTCCGATGC